TCAACTAGATGAGTTTCTGATTCAAAAATTATATTTATTTAGTGGGAGGTGGTCCTGGACCCGCACTTCCACCGGGTAGAGAATCGCCGTATTCTGGTTTGTTGATTAATTAATTTCAAAAGTTTTGCATTTACTAGTTGTTGTTAGTGCTATCAAACTTTCAACTAGTGGGCTGCGGGGACGGAAAAATTCAGGGGCGAAATTTTGCAGTCACTCGCACTTCCACCGGGTAGCCAATCGCCGTACTCTGGTTTGTCAATTAATTAATTCTAAGAGTTTTGCTTCCATAAATTATTGTCAATGCTATCAAAGTTTCAACATTAGCTGCAACTAAGAGCATCTCTATTCGAAATATTTATTTCTGGTACTTTTTGATCAAAATTGAATATTTGTAATCACTTCCACTGCTTTTCGAAATTGAAATGAAATCCGTGAATGCTCTCACTCATTTTCAACGATACCCGTGCACTTCTGAGTAAATAATCGGATACATAATCATATTATTACAAAAGACATGAGTAATGTACAAAAAAGTGTTTAATTGAATGAATTTATCAGTTCATGATGAATTCCCTCTTTTTCAGGTGGTTCGGGAGCCGCACCGTATGGAAGTAAGTGATTCGAAAATAGCATTCTTAACAATTTATTATGCGCATTCATTACTTCATGATAACCTTTCGCACTTTTCTTAGTATCGTCTTGAGGCGTCCCTTAAGCTTATTTGGAGAATAATTGTTCAAAATTCAAAAGTATTTCTTTCCACTCACTCAAGGAATGGATGGTGAAAAAGAATTTTGACATACCCCTCAAAAAACAACGTATTTAGTTCCTTTGCTCAAAAGTTCGTTTTCTAGTTCTACTCATCTTTAGTATGAATCTCAACTAGATGAGTTTCTGATTCAAAAATTATATTTATTTAGTGGGAGGTGGTCCTGGACTCGCACTTCCACCGGGTAGCCAATCGCCGTACTCTGGTTTGTCAATTAATTAATTCTAACAGTTTTGCTTTCATAAATTATTGTCAGTGCCATCGAACACTAACTGCATTTACGAGCATTTCTATTCGAAGTGATTGCTTCGGACACTCTGATCAAAACATTATATCTTAATCATTTTCACTGTTTGTAACATTTAAAGTGAGATCTTAAATGCTCAACGATGCACGTACACTTTACGGGAACAGTTCGACAGGTATAATCAAGTTATTACCAATAACAAAAACATAATCAAGGTTTGAGAAGTGTCTAACTAGCTGAATTTACCAGGTGAAGACAGCTTGTTAGTTTGTAGACGGCCTGTTAGTGGCCTATGACCTCAAATTTTTGAAGGTCGTTCATAGATTCACTTATTTGACCATGTCGAATGAGCAAACTTGCGTTTTAATTATCAGTGAATTTCACGATATGAAAATCTGTAAGCATTCGAATGGACGACCTAAAATCATTGAGGTTGAGAAGCAAACTTGAGATATTCAGAAAAGTGAATCAGCTAATTAATATCATATCAGTTATTAAAATAATTATGCAGGAGGTGTTGGTCCTCAAATTCCTGGAGAGAGACCATTCGGAGGTTAGTTCATCTTTATGCATCTTGCTATTCGTGGTTTTGAATTCTGAGAAATGATTTTCATCAAAAGAATCTTCTAGCAACGAGACGTTATTTTGATGACTGTTCTAAAAGTTGTCGTAAAATAAATTGGATTAGGTAAGGTTTCGAGGTGAGAAATTTCAGCAGAATGGTTGGAGTAAGTATTTAGTTGTTGTGAAGGGATTTACTAATTGATTGAATGTTGAGATTGGAACCAATAAGTAGCTATTTTAAATGTTGGCTCCATGTCCTATAAGCAAGATCCATTGGATCCGATAAGATTTGCAACAAGTTAAATGGATCGAAGTATCTATTTTATTGAACATACGAAGAAGTGATCTTGTGGAGAAATTTTTTTCAATTGGATGACACGTTTTACAGTGCATGGATGACGCATCAACATTGCTCTTACTGTACCAAAATTTTTTGTGCAATGCTTTACTTGTAATTTGCTTCGGAAAGCTAATATAGTAATGTATCTCGACGATCTACTAAAGATAGATTGTGCAGGTATAGGCATAGTACAATAGTTTTTCATCACCGCGAGTTAATTGGTGCCCTATGGCACATAAATCAAGTGAAATCCAGAAGAGTAAGTTGTTCCGTAGACCAACTAATTAAATTCCTATTCAGCTGGATTCGCTGCAAAGCCAGAAGCATAAACGCTCATAATAATTCCATTGGATTCGTTGTGAAGCCAGCATAAACATTCAATGTAAGTTATGCAATTGACTGTGCTTCATTGAAATTATTTATCAGTATGATCGAAACTTTCATTAAGAATTGCAATCTGTTTCAGATACACTTCATTATTTTTCATTTCAGATGAATCGTCTCTTTCGTATCTACTATCTACAGTTCAAAATGCCGTTCCATTCCAGCATGAGAGCATCGCAAAAAACTGATACCGAAAATTTGAGTTGACTTATCAATTTTGTAATGTTAAAAAATATTAAAGATCCAAGATGTTATATTCTTTCCATCACTTTTTTTACTGCATTCGTTAAACAATGCATTTATGATAAAATTTTCAATCTATTAAAGTTGACCTGTTCGTCAGAATAAAATCCGGTTGAAAGAAGTACTTCTTGTGCAAATTAATCCTAATCGATTTGTTTAATTAGCAATCAAAGAAGAATACAAAGATAAAATATTTATTGAACACATCGTTCAAAGAAGGAACAGTACAAGAAAGCTTGCTTATGCCATATAATCATTGACCAGGAACATCGTAGTGGGAATGTAATTCAACTGCTTATAATCATCTGCTATATAATCATGATTATTAAGGACAAAAAAGGGAACTGAGTTGCATCCCTTCTCAAAACAAACTCGCTGTTACACAGATTTCCATACAATGCAAATTATACCCGCCAAATGAACTCTGGGAAACTAATAAAAGTTCGTCTTGTTCAACTATTACATCAGTCAGTTTTTCGATAGCATTCAGTACTTTGCTATGAATTACAAAAGATTTGAGGCATCTTCAAGATGATTTTGAAAGGTTTCAGTAGTCATGTGAAAAAGATTTGTGCGCATAAAAGCCATTCCTAGCACGACGTAAAGACAGATGAACAATTACCATATATTAACTTCCCATGAGCTTCTCGATCACAATTGAATGAAAAGAATTAAGAAAAAGTAAATGAGACAATCAATCGTTTCAATAACCCGAATACTACAATCATATAAGCGTGAGCATGAGTCTGAACTTGACGTAAAATGGCTTAATCCTGTGAACTAATTCAATACAACAACTACTACACAAAATAGCAACTTGAAACGTTCGATCAAACAAACAGATTTTGTATCCCTCTCAGTTGTGATTAAATCACCGTTCAGTTGCTCTTCGCAAAAGTGATATTGAATTCACAGTGATATTCAAATTTGTCGCATATTTGTACTCATTTTGAGCAATTCTGCTACGTCAAAAAGGATAACGTCACAAAAGATTCGAAAGTTTTCCTTCCACATAAGCTCTTCTTACGATACAGCATTTGAAAGAAATATCGAATTAAAATGAATCAATTTCAATTCATCTATTTTCATTCATTTACTTCAAATCAAATATCACTGAAAATTTTACAATTTCATTCAATCACTCGGGTTTATTTAAGTGAGGATAAATCAAGTGCTGAATGGATTAATCAAATGACTGATGCGGTGTATTGTAAAGACATTCAGCAAATCGACTGAATGAGAATAACACGATACGACTTGAGTTGATATGATAAATCTAGTGTTTAACGTTACAATAAACAACACATCAGCCATATATACATATATGTTTGGTACAAAACTTAAGCAACGGGATTATGATCATCACTGGGATATGAAAGAAAATGAAAAAAAAAGATAGGAAATATGGAAAATTTTTCAACGATTGGAAAGATTTGATTAGAAACAGAAAACTTAAATTGATTCATGATCAGAACGGAGAAGGAGATTTTTAGAAATTAATTTTCAAGCAAAAGAACAAAACCGAGCAATGACTGAAGGAAGTGCTCGCGGTGAAGGGAGCGAGAGTGTGTGTTGAATGTATTCGCTGCAACTGAAAGCCTAATCAAAACTTGCAATGAATCGATGAGGTGAATAAAATGAAACATTGCCGATATGATATGAAATTTTACAATATGATAATTATTCAATAAATGATTGATCTCTTATGAACGCCTAAAAAAGCTCCAATCAGACGGTAAGATGGCATACAGTTTATTCGTTAGTAGATTGCCCTCTCTGGCAGGTTGTGAATGTGAGTGTGGAGTAGCGGGTGCTGAGGAATGGACGGGTATTTGTTGTTTGTGCTGAGATAGTTCTGGTGTTGCTGGCACAGATGCAGACGACGATGTTGACGTGTGATGCTCCTAAGATTGCATCATTTACTGCTTAGTTGCTCAGCGCAATAGCACATAAAAGAGAACTGATCACATACCTGGTCAGCAAACTGTCAACTAGATGACTGCTCGTGTTCTTCTTTAATCTCGAGTATTTCGGGATGCAACTCAATAACACGCATCAATATGCCGTTTATATACACACGTAACTTCTGATTACAGATCTCTTGTTCTTTCAACGCATTCATCAACTATGCAAATTTACATTAGTTATTTAATAAGATGTAATAATTAGCTATGTTTTGCACTGATATATGATAAAACTTTAACAGTAGATTCGTTATGAATTTCTCTTCATCAAGAAATCAAATTTTTTGGAATTGATGAGGAATTGTTGAATATGACGCTGTAAAAAATCTTTCATTGGGAATTTGTAATTATTTCATCTTTTCGGTACATTCTGATATGTTTTAAACACCACTCGATTTTTTTTGCGTGTTGATAAAATTGTAAGATTTACTTCGGTAGAATCTTTTCCATTAAGTTCTTCGGCCAATGAAGGTAGACGATCAGCGAGTAGACTTTGCCCTCTCTCAACCGAGTCATGCAATAACTGTGCTTGCAAATCTTCATTCTGCTCCCGGAGCTCTTTGTTCTCGGCGCGAAGTCTCTCGATCTCGCTTTCCAATGAGACAATCTTCAAAATTCATCAAATATGTTCTTATGAATGATAATCTGTCAACAATTAGCCATGTTCTAAAGGAAAATATTAATCTCTCATCCAAAAACTGATTCAATTTTATCAGAGTAATTGTTCAACTTTATCAATCATTCTCAATTTGCTGAGAATGATACATAAGTGGAATATGTTGATAAGTTACTTGTTCGGCAAGAGATCCTTGTCTAGGAATAGGCACATGATGCTGACGTCTCAATTCATCGGTCTGCCGCGATAACTCTTCAACCAACTCTGAGCTACTGTCAATGTCTTGTTGTGCTTCCTCACGATACCTGTACAACAGCAGCAGTCAACAGAATTCAATATAACCTTCGAGTAGTCGACTTGGAATCAATTTGGTCTCAACAACTGGAAGTTGAAGAAAAAGACACAAAGCAAGTCTTCAGCTAGGATTCTTAAATTTTCTCTGTTTCCTTCCTGAACATTTTCAGTTAAACCAGACCACACCTTGAACACAGATCTACGAAAATATTGGGCAGTTAAAAAGAGAGGGATTGGAGAAGTTAAGTCCTATGAACGGGATCTCAGTTGAAGATCCTTTTGATGTCCGTTTCTTAAGCTCCTAATTGCTCGGAGGTCATATTGATCCCCGAAGGTCAAGTCGGTTACAAAATTTGATGGCAAGAAGAAGATTAAGTTGGTTGTTTTATTGCAACACATTCACATGAATTCATATCATGATGCACCCCCAATTCTCCTACCCACTTTCAGTATGTTGATTATTGAATTTCGCAATGAACATTACGCTACGCCCAAAAAAGTAATTTTATTAAAGGCGGATGATAAATCATTGAATGTTGTTCACGCCGAAACTCTGCAAATAAATCTGGAAACATTATACACCATCCGTAAACTATTCGCTTAAGCAAGCCAACTGTTCATGTGATCACTGAGTAATGATTCATTTCGGTGACAGTCATCAAACAAGATGATTCAACACCAATCATTACTAAAAGCACGCTAGCCAGTTGCACTAAACGACAGCAAATGAAGTGCCAGTTAAAAGTTTTGAAGAAGACATCACACAATAACGGTATGATGAGCTAAGTTCAAGGATAACGGAAGCACCTTTTATATTCACGTTCAAGTTTGATGCGTTCTTCTTCGAGATGTTCACATAACGCATTCGCCTCATTCAGTTGTCCACGAGCATCATCAACAGATTGTTGCAAATTAGCGATCTCTTCTTGGTGTTTCTCTCTTTCCTTACGCAAACCCATACAATCTTTTTCAAGCACCTTCAATTATTCGGTTATTAATATCATCTTTTGATCCTGATTAGGCATTTAAACAGTGAACAACATCAACCATACCTTTTTTTGCGTTTGAAATTAGTGACCAATGAATATGGTGAATGAATAATCACTTGTGCTACCTGACTAATGCAATACAACTCACTTGGTATTTGAGCAAACAACTTTCAATTTCAAGCTGCTTTTCGCGTTCCATTCGAGAAATGATATCTCGATTACGAGTCTTTTCTTCTGTCAACTTCTCTTTCCATCTGTAATTACACATCGAAATCACATTCCGATTCAACCAAGCTGGTCGATTTGAATTAGGACGATAACACAATTCAGTTCGGCACCGGTTGATACAATATGAAAGAATTGGTAATTGATTAACCTCTGTTCAGCAGCTTGCATTTGCTCCTCAAGAATATGAATACGTTCCGTTAAAACGGCATTATCAGTCCTAAGTCTCGAGCGTTCTTCTGAAGAGGTCATACGTTCTTCTTCCATATCATTGACCTTTTTGGACAGAGATGAAACCTAAAATCACATGCATCCATCACCATCCGAGTACTCAGCAATACGAACATAGTCTGCCTATCATTAATCTTTGAATAAAGAGCACCAAAAATCATTCTTAAATAATCAAGTAACCACTGAATGATAACCTTGATAAACTCATTTAATTATAACACTAAATCGCATTCAAAAACCATCATTCTAATCATAAGACAGCTATGTCGCATGTCGCATCAACTTAACTATAACGCAATTGTTATCGCTCGGTTGTTTAACTTTATACCGCTACAATAGAATCATATCTTGACTATTACATTATAGTATGAATAAGTTAGTTTGTGAGAAACCTGACTGCAGATTTCGTTGAATTCGTGCATTGAATTTTCAGTATCACTGAAGTTGATCAGTTCTGATTCACTACCAAAACTACCACGTCTTGAGCCACGTGTTCCGTTCGTATATAAACGTGATGCAACAGATGCAGAACTCGAGCTGTTATTAAGTCGCATGGAAGCGGGAGATTGCTCCTGAAAACGCGACTGCACTGTACATCATCCACATACACCGACTTCTTTCTTCCACTCCAGTTCGTTTTCATAATAGATCTTTTTTATCAGCTTATCATTGTCATATTCAAGATGATTGCTCCTTCAAAGTTGTGATATAGACACACTGACTACAGTTTATCCAGTCGCCTCAGGTATTTGGAAGGAGGAAAAGTGAAGGAGGGATAGATATTCTCCAAAAATTTTCGTGGCGAAGCTGAACATATATAAGGATTGTGCGTTCATCGACCATCGACTGAGCTTGATCTCAGATGCACGATACTGTTCTTTATTAGAGGCTACTTAAAGACTCGTTCAAATCAGTGTGACGAACTCAATTATCGGCATGAAATCATTTGGTCATGTATGAGTTGAATGCATAAGTGTTTACACAAGATCTTAACTTCCAAATCCCGATCCCAGGATTCGTTTTCTGAAAAATCCTGGGATTTCGGGATTTGATAATATAGGGCATTCTAAATAAATTCAGGAGGACACTCGTCTTGAATTACATATCAAACATTACATACTTTTTGTTTACCACCTCAGCGATAGTAAATGGATATATTAGTGCACCTTAGACTTAATTTTCAGAAAATAATGAACGATCGTCACTCCAGCTTCGTTTTTCATCATCAGCGTTGCTTTATCACCCTTTTATGATCGTTTCTTGATCCCAGGATTATCGCAGGATTAAAAAAGGTCGGAATTTTGCAGCCCCTACAATCTACTATTGAGGGAGCAGATAAAGCTCTCTCAAATTTTCGTTCTGAGAGGATTTATCAAATGGGAGAGGACGTTTTATTTGAGAAAATACGGTACGTATTTACATGTATGAATACATCATGATCACACGAGAACAAGAAAGATAATAGTACGAAACCAGCTGAATAGAGTGTTATTGAAGCATTCAATTTTGCTATATGAATGTTTGAAGTGGTGGATGAACATAGTCTGACAATGTTATTAGTCATATAACAGCGAACAATTTACAGGTGGAATTATGAAACGTGAATGATTCAATTTCTCTGGAACTGTAAGAACATCCTGAATAGTTGTAATATGCCTTTGACTTCTCCTTCGCTTCATTAGAGTGACAGGCAAATTCCGTTTTTTAATGAATCAATATTTGAGATCAAATAACTAAGCAAACAGTTAACAATGATTCTTGCAAGCACACAAGTATTGATCGACTGATCCCATTAAATGATCACATTCCTTAAACTAACCAATTTTAAACAACCCCAAAAGTTATCGATCTAAATAAGTTTCAAATTTGAAGTAGTCAT